ACAAATGAGTATTGTAGTGCAAATGACATGATATTAAAGTAGCCTATAAATGTGGTTGAGAATAGTAACATACCGCACATTTGTACTTTCATCTATTCTAAACATTGGATCCATAATGCATGCAAAACCTGAAAGCATTGATTTTTCAGCACAGATCCATGAGTTGAGCAGCAGAAGCTGTGATGTCGAGATGTTAGACGGCTTTACTCACATGCTCCCGCTGCAGGTCTGGTTCTTCTCGTCAGTCCGGTTCCTTCTGCAACAGAACCACAAACTTAGAGGAGAAGAACAGATACAAACCATCCGTCTCCACTGATCTCTCTCTCTGTCTGTCTGCCGGTCTCTAACCCACTACACCTCTCTCTCTCTCTCTCTCTGTCTGTCTGCCGGTCTCTAACCCACTACACCTCTCTCTCTCTCTCTCTCTGTCTGTCTGCCGGTCTCTAACCCACTACACCTCTCTCTCTCTCTCTCTCTGTCTGTCTGCCGGTCTCTAACCCACTACACCTCTCTCTCTCTCTCTCTCTGTCTGTCTGCCGGTCTCTAACCCACTACACCTCTCTCTCTCTCTCTCTCTGTCTGTCTGCCGGTCTCTAACCCACTACACCTCTCTCTCTCTCTCTCTCTGTCTGTCTGCCGGTCTCTAACCCACTACACCTCTCTCTCTCTCTCTCTCTGTCTGTCTGCCGGTCTCTAACCCACTACACCTCTCTCTCTCTCTCTCTCTGTCTGTCTGCCGGTCTCTAACCCACTACACCTCTCTCTCTCTCTCTCTCTGTCTGTCTGCCGGTCTCTAACCCACTACACCTCTCTCTCTCTCTCTCTCTGTCTGTCTGCCGGTCTCTAACCCACTACACCTCTCTCCCTCTCTCTCTCTCTCTCTCTCTCTCTCTGTCAGCTGGGACGGGGGATGATTTAACAGGCCCCTCTGCGCGTTACCGTAAATCGTTAAGGCAAACCGGCGGGACTCTCATCCAATCAAAGCGATGCGCTCGAGCGCATATTTCACATCCATCTCACCTGAGTGTGGCGCTGGCATTACAAGCATGTGTTCAGGTGTGATGAACGCTCGCATGCACAAGAGGAAGTTAACATGATTATGAATCAGGCAACATATATAACATGCACTCTGGATTCAGATGGTAATAACATGCTACTTTGATTTATATGGTACAAGGATGCTTTTATTTTCTCCCAAACACTAAATTGCAACAGAACCACCACAGCACTTTCACAATGTTTATCATTATGCACGTAATATTTCCTGCATATAATATTTCCAAGCTCAGTTTCCTGCATATAATATTTTCCTGCTTCATGATATGATCAAATGCAATAGCAGGAGCTCAATTTCTAACATGGCATATTTCAAATTATCACACATTTTTGAGATAAGACTTGATTTAATAACCTTCAACAAGCACAAACAACAGTAACTGAACAGAAGGACAGTATGTTTTGATATGAAACGTCAAAAGTGTAATTTTTGAAGTGCTTACATTGAGTAACTATTCATTTAAAAATGTTTAAATCACTAATCACTTATAAAAATGTTTAAAACCTATTTTTAGCATATTTAAAATATATAATTTATTTTAACAGGCATATAATTTTTATTGATTATAGAAAAACTTGAAGAGCTTATTTTAAGTAACTATTTATTTAAATGTATCAATTATATAAAAAACATTTAACATATATTTAAAATATAAAAATGTATATATTTTAACATATATGTAATTTATTATATAATATATTGCATCAAATTGCACCTGCATAATAACAAAATACTAAAATAATATTATAATACTAAAATAATTATAGGCCTATATTATTGTTTATACATGTGGGGCAGATTATTTTTAATCAAACAACCTTGTCAAACTTTTTTTTTTTTCGCACACATTTTGTTGCCCCATCAATATTTAATACTTATAAATATATTTTTCCATCATTATACACTATATACATACTGGTAATAAATGCATAGTCTGAATGCACTGTAAGTCGCTTTGGATAAAAGCGTCTGCTAAATGCATACATTTATTTAACATTTAAAATTTAAAATTATACACATCATTATCTGTCATATCTCAGCATCTCAGTGAAAGATCAATACGCTCATCTTCTCAACATTCAGAAGCAAACTCCAGAGTAGTTGAGAAAATGGGCAGACTTTGAGACGCTTTTCTGTGGCGCTGAAGAGAGGAAGTGGACAAGCGTTCACGTCAATAACGCTCACCAAACCACACGAATGAGAGAATAAAGACACCAACCGGCTCGCGTCGCGTCGCGTCGCTCCGCTGCTGTTTCTGACCTTATTAAACGCGGCTTTTGTGACGGTTCAGCGCGCGACGAACGTTTCCGTGTTTCTCTGTGTGAACGGAAACAAACGCGCAGATTTACGTTCACATCAGAACGCATCAGTTCAGGCTCCTCCCACGGAAAACCGCGTTTGCACAACACACGCGCGTTAAGCACACGCGACGCGACGCGACGCGACGCTGCTGGAACTGTCCCGTTCAAATCACCGACGTCGCTGCGCGTGTTGGTGTTGCTTTCAAAACTGAAGAGCATTATTATTTTAATTTATTTATTTAAAAAAATGTTTTTAACTGTATCATTATTTATATAATACTGTATATTTTCTATTTCTTTTTTGTAGTTTATATTTGTTCAGTACCTTTATATTATATGTTGGAAATAAAAAAAAAAACAAAACAAAACTGAAGAGCAGAGTTAAAAGCTCAGTTCATACATTTCTGCAATTAGATAACTTTTTAAATTTTTTAAATATATTTTTTTTATATCTAAAAATTGTACATATTTAAAATATATTTTTATATAGGCTATAATAGTTTCGTTTAATTTAGCCTAAATATTCGATTTAATTTTAAACATTTAAAATAATTATAATAATTATAATAATAATAATTATTATTATTATTATTATATATAGGCCTATATGAACTAAAATAAATATTTTTATTATTTTTTAAATTTAGTCATGAATTAATTTTTGTATTACTTACTTTTCTTATATTTATTATTTTCTTATTTTCCTTTATTACCTTTATTTTATTTTTTTTTACATTTTATTTTATTCTTTAATTTATTTGTATTTACTGTTATATTGATTTATTCCTACATGTATTTATTTTAATATCCATCTATACATGTATTTATTTATTTTTAATTTTTGCAGGTTTAGTTGTGTCCCCCTGTGTTGTAAATAAAATAATTTAAAATAATTTAAAAATAAAATATGAATAATATATTATTATATTAATATTATATTATGTTTTTTAAACATGATGTTTACTCGTGTTTATTTTATTGTATTTTGTATTATTACCAATTTTAAATAGTTATATTATGTATATATTTTATTATCTAAAATATTTAAAATGAAAATAATAAATCATATTTTAAAAAATAATATTTATTTATTCATTCATGCATTCTATTCTATTCTATTTCATTTGTAAATATTCAGTTCATTGAATCCCACACATCATTACTGTGTTTTGAAGTGGTTTTCTATGTGACTGTGACTGAGTGAAATCTCTGCGTTAGAGAGACTAGTTAGTGTTAGTTAGTGTTAGTTAGTTAGATGTATAGTGTGTGTTTGTGAATGAGAGTCCTGTGATACACTGCTTATAATGTTTGTGTGTGTGATTTACAGTTATGGGTCTGCGTCACATTTGTAAATCAAAGCCAGCACTGTTTATTTGATCGATATTTACACCCAGCGCCTCCCTGACTCGTGCGTTTTTCTGTGAACTTTAATTAATACAGTTTATGTGTGTTTATGTGCGGGAGAATAACCAGACCGTTGCTTTCTTTGCTGAGGTTTAATCTTAAATAGACACCACAGCAGTTCCTGAGCTCATCAGACACATTAAACCAACTCTTTTATATGCTAATCATTTGTATTTTTCTCCTATATGCAGTTATTTGCGGATTGTATTGCAATATTATATTATTTGCATTTATGTATCTGGCAGATGTTTCTATTTAAGCACTTACAGTATATTCAAAGTATGCATTCTATTCTATTTGAATTTTATTTCAAAAATAGAACAATAAATAAAAGAATCAATTATAAAAACAATTCATTTAGTCATTCGTTTATTTTTGTGTTTGTTTATTGTTCTATTTATATATCCCCACATGTATTTTTTTTAATATTTATTTATTTATAAATTCATTTAGAATAGAATAGAATATGGTTTAGTTTAATTTCTTCATGAAATAAATACAATTAATTTTTATTTTTAATTAAATTAAATGTATTACTTAATTTTCTTTATTTATTATTTCCTGTAATGATTTTAACTTTGTTTTTGTCATTTTTAAACCTCCTTTTTTATTATTTTATTTTTTATTTATTAACATATGTATTTATTTCCATCATTTTTATTATATGAGATAATTAAATTATTTTATCAAATAAATACAAATCATTTTAAATTCAATTTGGTCATGAATTATTTTTTTACTACTTCATTTTCCATGGTTTCTTTTTTTTTATTGGTTTTAACTTTTTTTTTTTTTTTTCATTTTTATCTTTATTTTTATTATTTTTACATTTTATTTTATTCTTTCATTTATTTTTATTTATTGTTGTATTGATTTATTCCTACATGTATTTATTGTCATATTTGTTTATTTGTAATTTTTGCAGGTTTAGTTGTGTCGCCTGTGTTGTTTTTGTGGTGCAATGCTGCCATCTAGCGGCGGAGATCAGTATTCCGCCTGAATCCCGCTGATATACACGCGCTGCGTCAGCACAATATCTGCTGCGCTGGCACATTTACAGGCGCTTTTACCTCGCTGTTAATCCTTTTAACGAGTAAAAACCTGGCGACTTATAACCCAGGAGCGAGATGATGACCTTGCTCTTCATCTTCAGATTGATGCGACGTGAGTTTTGTTTACAGAATTTACAAACGCACGTGTGTCTGCGGCATCGCTGCACTGACAGCACATCACCAGCAGGTGGCGCCGTTTAATAGCATCAAATATTGGTAAAAGAAATATTAGATTCATTTAAACACAAATGAATACATAATTATAAAAGGAGACTTGCATATACTTACGTGCTGTAATAAATCTATGTAGATTTTAAAAATACGTATTCATTAATATTGTTTTATTATATTTTATAATAAATATATATTTTATACATATTATATTAACATTTAAATTTTAATTTATTTTAATCATATTTTTACAATCTACACAACTAAAATAGAAAAGGTCATTTTTAATAAATTACTATATAAAACATACAAAAGGAGAATATGTAAAAAAAAATAGATTTTTATATTATCAAATTATTATATAGTATAATAAATGTATTTAAAAACAGAAAAAGTAGAATAAGGGCATATTATTAAAATGCAATCTACATAGAACTACAGGAGAAAATGCCATTTAGAATAAAAATATAATATATAACAAATATAAAAAATTATTTCAGCTAAAATACTTTATTAACATAATTGCATAAGGAGATTATATAAAATAGTTATATTTACACATACGTTTATGCTAAAAAAACAGAATAATAAATTATTATTAAAATGCAATCTACACAGAAATACAAGAGAAAATGTCATTTATAATAAATTCTGATATATAATAAATATTAAAATATTATATTATATATAAATATTAAAAATTATTTCAGCACAAATTACTTTAAAACCTAATTACAAAATGATATATGAAAATATAAAAGACATATTTACATATATATATTAGAATTTATAATATAAAACAATGTAATTGCAGTAAAAAAAAGAAAAAAGAATCTGACTTAACATCTGTAGCGCCTGAAACACTGGTATGTGAAAACATCTGCTTCAAACACAGGTGAGATGCGTGAGTCTTCAGCAGTCCTCTGGAGAAGCTTTGCTTGAAGAGCAGAAAAGCATCTCAAGCAAACATCTTTCATTAGCTCTGAGCTTTCAGAATAGACCAGCAGCTAATTTTAGCCGGATGTGAGAGGATTTAGTTTGCATTTCAAGCACCGTCAAGACGAACACATCAGCCTTTCAAGCCTCTGGTGTTGAAGAGAAGAAAGGCTTCATTTAAAGCCTCTCCGTAAATCTGCTCCTCTGTGATTTTATAATTATTTATCCTTCAGAATGTAAAACTGATTAGTCACACTGCTACGACACTCACAGCATCATTTCAGCAAAACCATATAAACTTAAACCAAAGTGCTATAAAATACTGTAAAGTTTTTAAACTTTTACATTTTTTGAAAGTTTGTGGAAGTAAAATATGAGTTGCCTTCAGATGTAAATAGACTGCTACACTACTGTTCAAAACATTTGGGGTCACTTTTTAAAATTAGCCTAATCGTTTTATTCATCGAGGATGCATTAAATTGATCAAAAGTAACAGGAAAGACATTTAGATTTCAGTTTCAAATAAATGCTGTTCTTTTGAACTTTCTGTTCATCTGTGAATCCTTAATCCTGGAGTAATGGTGCTGAAATGTAAGCTTTGTATTACAGGAATAAATTAAGTTTTCACATATATTCACGTATAGAAAACAGATCTTTTAAATTGTAATAATATTTCACATTATTACTGTTTTTACTGTAAAAATTAACAGGATGTGTTTATGTCTAACTCTTAAAATATATGACAGAGGCGTCAGTGATCGTGAACACAACTCACCCTGCTGCTTTATTTATTCACCAAAACTAAAAATACCTTTCAAAAAGCCTCATGTCTCTGGAGAAAGCATCACGGCTCACGTTCTGCTGGACACTTGTGTGTCTGTAAACACTGAACAGACTCTCCAAAAATAATAGACGTGGCCTATCTATACAGTTTTAATAATCGATCTAATTCTGTGAGAATGGGAAAGTCTTATTATAACAACACAGAAGAACGACACTTTCAGAATGATTTTCCCCTGCTGATGAACAATAAAAACAGATAGCCAACATTTTGAAAGCTTGTGCATTTAAAGAGGCAAACGATAAAACTGCAGAGCACGCTTTTATTAAAGGGATAGTTCACCCAAAAATCCCCATCAACTTTAACTCAACCTGGCCAAGACAGAACTGCTTGTGGTTCCATCAAACCCATTGTTTTTTCACAATTTCACCATCCAGTTAGACACATCAACCATAACTCCTTCAAAAACAGCCAGAAACCTTGGAGTTGTGATTGATGATCAGCTGACTTTCTCAGACCACATTGCTAAAACTGCCCGGTCCTGCAGATTTGCTTTATTCAACATCAAGAAGATCAGGCCCTTTCTTTGGGAACATGCTTCACAACTCCTTGTTCAAGCTCTTGTTCTGTCCAGGCTGGACTATTGCAATGCTCTCTTGGCAGGTCTTCCAGCCACTTCTATCAAACCTTTACAATTAATCCAGAACGCGGCAGCAAGGTTCATTTTTAATGAGCCGAAAAGAATGCACGTCACACCTCTGTTTATCAATTGCACTGGCTACCAATAGCGTTCCCTCCTGGTGGAATGACCTGCCCAACTCAATCTGAGCAGCTGAGTCCTTAACCATCTTCAAGAATCGGCTAAAAACACATCTCTTCCATCTTTATTTGACCCTCTAACTCTAGCACTCTCTATCCTAATTCTATTCTTTAAAAAAAAACAAAAAAAAAAACCTTGTCCCTTTTAGACTTGCACTCTATTTATTTACTGCTTGTTTTCTTTAAAAAAAAATCTAACACTAGCTTCTCTAATCTTTTTGTATTCTATCTATTTGCTTTCTTTTTATTTATTATACAGTTAACAAAAGCAACAAAAAGGCCTCTAACACTAGCTTGCTCTATTCTTTTTCTATTCTATCTGTTTTCTTTTTAATTCAATTCAATTCAAGTTTATTTGTATAGCGCTTTTCACGATACAAATCGTTGCAAAGCAACTTTACAGCAAATTAAGTTTTATTATATAATTTTTTTTTTAAAAACCTTGCTATGTGTACTGCGCAGTTAGGACATCTTAAAATGGTCCATGTGACATCAGTGGTTCAACCGTAATTTTACAAAGCTACGAGAATACATTTTGTGCGCAAAGAAAACAAAAATAACGACTTTCCTCTGCATGTAAACAAGGCGCAGCCCATGCATTGTTTAAGTTCAGAGGAAAGCACGCGCATGTGTCATGGTACTCTCCAAAATGGCGTCAGGGTGACGCGGAGGAGAAGAATTATTGAATAAAGTTGCTATTTTTGTTTTGCTTGCACACAAAAAGTATTCTCATAGCTTCGTAAAATTACGGTTGAACCACTGATGTCACATTAACTATTTTAACGATGCCCTTACTACGTTTCTGAGCCTTGATCGTGGTAGTTCCCTTGCTGTCTATGGGAGAGTCAGAGAGCTCTCGGATTTCATCAAAAAATATCTTAATTTGTGTTTTGAAGATGAACGAAGGTCTTACGGGTTTAGAACGACATGAGGGTGAGTAGTTAATGACAGAATTTTCATTTTTGGGTGAACTATCCCCTTAACAGAACGTTATCATGCGCTGGTGTGAATGCAAATATAAATAATCGGTGTAATTATCTTTTTTTAAGTTATTTTTATGGGCTTATGCCTTTTATTGAGATAGGACAGTAGAGAGAGGACAGGAAAGCATGGGGTGGAGAGCGGGATCGGCAAAGGACCTCGAGACAGGAATCGAACTCGGGTCAACGCACTAACCAGGGCTGCGTTTCCCAAAAGCATCGTAAGCTTAAGTACATCATAGACCCATTGAAACCAATGGAGCTACAATCAACTCAGGCTTAAGATGCTTTTGTGAAACGTAGCCCAGGAGGCTATTGGCGGCGACGGTGTAATTATCTTCAAATTCTATGAGAATAATTAAAGTTCACACTACAACTATCAAGATGACAGAATTGGAATGGATTCACTTTCAGAAAGTTTTGTTTTTACAGCTGTTGAACGATACATACGGTATACTGACAGCCAATCAGAATCAGCACGAGCTGTTCTAATTCTACGAGAATAGGGAAGTCCACACTACAACTATAACGACAAGGATGCAGGGAAACTATATTTTTGGAATAACTTAAAGAACGATGTTCCAGTTGATGAACGATAAAAAATCACGTTTCCATCCACCTATTTTCATGCGCATTTTGGGACATCGCATAAAAAAACCACTGGATGGAAACACTTCTACCAAATAAATTCCTTAATGTGCATCAAAAAAGGCATGTGACTTTGCGATGGGACAGCATAAAACTGGACCAACCAATTGACTGATCTCATAGCACAGCATCTGAAATGCTAGTTTTGTCATTCTGATATGCTTGAGCAAAGTCTCGTCAAAGTGCTTCGTTATAATTAACTCCAAGAACTGTGTTCCCAAACAGCAGACTCCGAAAATAAGATAACATGACCGCGTTTCGTCTGCGAGCTCTGAAGCTGTAATTTATTGTATACAAAAAAATATTTTATAGTGTTTTCTCCTACTGCAGCAAATTAACTTTTTCTTTGTGATATTTAGCACAAGTTAATCAGGAAGTGACGGTTTTGTTCTCTTCAACTCACATGGATGGAAACGGTGCTTTATTCGCAAATGTTTTATGCGATATTCCAATTTTGCGCATAGGTTTAATTCGTAACTTTGGATGGAAACATTGACAACCAATCAAAATACACCCTGCTTTAAAGAGATCGCGCATTTAGAGGCAGACGACAAAAACGCAGCATGCGCATATAATAAACAGAATGTTATCTTGCGCTGGGGTGGACGCTAATATAGTTAGTCATCTTTATAGTCATTGTTCTTGGTGTGAACAGGCCTTTACTATGATAAAATAAAAAGATAACATTTTAAAAATTGTTCTAGTTCAATGAGAATAAGGGAAGTTCACACCGCAACTATGATGATAATGACATAGAATATGGATTTAGAAGGGAAACACACTCTGTAAACGCAGTAATCGCTGACAAAAACATCAAACTGTCCTAATATTGAACTTTATTTGCTTTCTATAACTTTTGGCCAGCAGCAAGGCAGATTAGGATTTGGAACAGATCTCGTGCTAACGGTGTATTTGTGCTGATGGCAGAAGAAACACTGAAACCAGACCAGAGTTTAATCTTTTTTATTATTATTATTATTATTTTTAAATGATATTTTCCTCCTGTGGCAGGTTTAATGCTTTATTCAGAACTCTTTACATAATGAACATGAACGTGTTCAGAATTAAGGTGCAAACATCAGCAAACACAAAAGAACTTCCCAAGTCAGCAGAAGATCATTTCAGCATGGCAATAATCAGAACATCTTCTATGAAAAACAGGCAGACATCTTTAGTGGTACGGCTCGTGACCTTTTGTTTTCTCTCTCGTATCGCTAGCGGGACCCTGACCTTTGACCCTCCTCGTTGATGCTGGTGCAGCTCCACTAATGGAAGACTTCTCATAAACCCAGCCGACAGCTGATTGGCCTTTACGTTGATGGATCTGACCAATGAACAGGTCGATCACATTTAAAGGGGAAGGAACCTGGACTCCAGTAACCAATCAGAAATATACTGAGCTATATCAGGGAACTTGGCTGTGTCCAGAATGTCACCCCAGCATACTAACCTCACTATTTCTGCAGTATATAGTATGCATACTGTGCACAGTATGCAAATGTTCTTATGCATGGCAGGAGCTAAGGCATTTACCTAAAGCTGAGCGGCTTATTTATACAGCGCTTTATACAATACAAATCGCTTCAAAGCAGCTTCACAGTAATAAACAAGAAAATAACAGTGTTAAGGTCTTTGCACACCGAGTCCGAAATTCTTGTCCAAAATTTTCTAACGTTAAAAATTATATACGACCTCACGTTGTGTCAATCACGTTTACACACTGCCTCTGAAACTTTCGTCCGTCATAAAAAAATTTGGATCAGGTTCGATTTTCTGCGTTTTCGCATCCGTAGCAAGCATTTTGATAGGATAGGATGACGAATACGAAAAAAACGAAAAAACACATGCAAAAATTTCAGACTAGGTGTGCAAGGACCTTTAATGTTGCAAAATGCAGCAATTATGAAACAAATTTCAGTAGACAACAGTGTTATTATTTAGTGATGCTAAATTCAATCTAGTTCAATAACAGTGCCAATCTTGCAAAGTTCAAGTAGAACACAATCCCACAATGCAATGCATTCAACCTTCTATTTACAGTGCGAAAAATGAACTACACTTTTTCCTCATTATTTTAAAGGATGTCTTACACAAAATTGGATTAAACATGCAAAACAACCGTATTTATTTCAGACATCTGCTGAATTAGACATGCAACATAGTGAGAAAAAAATGTAGTACACTACTGTTTGGAGCATTTATCATTGCAAACGTTTCACCTACTATTTAAAAAAAACTATTAGGCAGTATTAAATATATACTGTGCAGTAAGCAGTACGCAAGGACTCCATTCTGAACACAGCCTGCGTTTTAACAAGGAGTGAATAAAAAAAACACTGAGTGAAAGAAAGCCGGGGCAGTATATTCTCTGGTTTTAAGTGGTTTAGTCCAGTTTAGTTACTCCGAGGGCAGTCTGTGCTTTTGGCAGGATAAAAAAACCCCGATCTCTCAGAGAGAACGGTTTAAAACAGGCGTATGGTGAAATGAGAGCAGACGCTTCCGTTTACTGAATGCAAAATCTCAGATTGTGACATCACTGTCCCTCCGCTTGATTTTGAGCACATTCAAAACACCACGGGAAAACGTTTTTTCCTCGCTCTTTTCAAATAAAAGAGTTCGATGTGGATGTTTGTAACATTCGCCACGCCATTACTGGCTCAGAAATCGTCATGATTATGACATCATAACCATAAGCTCATTAACATATCACCATCCACATTTACACATCAACACCTATTCAGCGGCCCGCCCCAATGAACGGCACCAGTATGCTGATGCTCACCAATCATAACAGTTCATTTACATATACAAGTCTTAAAGGTACAGTAGCAAGCCTGTTTCAGAGACGGTGGGAAATGACATTGTTGAACGTTGAGTAACATTATAAGAGGGGATTTAAAGTAAAATGCTACAGAAGTGGAGACTGTATGACAATTCATACAGTGGAATGAGATGAAGCAGATCTGCTTCCGTTTCAGTCAGAGCCTATCAGCAGAGCAATTCCTGAACCCTCCAGCCAATCACAGAGCAGTATTCACAAGCCCCTCCCCCAGAATAAAAAAAACAGAGCAATGATTGGAGGACACAATCGATGAGAACATTCAAGATTAATGAGGTGAGCGACGTATAGCGGTGAGTGAAAGTGCTTTTGGCATTCATAAATCAACGTGTGATCATCGAACATGGCTTTAAAGCTCAGACTCCTGAAAGAAAACACCCTCACGCGTCTCCAAGAGCACGTGACGCCAACAGACTCTTGCCAGACTTTGCATAAAATGTAAAATCATGTCGTGATTTTCAGAGACTCCTAAAATATTTTCACAGGCAAGAATTCAGCTTTTTTTAAATACTTTTTTTTTTCATGTTACTTTGTTAATGTTTGTTTCGGTTGATGTTTGTCGATGCTGAAGTTGCTGTTGTTTGTTCGGGTGTAAGAAAGCATTCAGCTCCAGGGGTCACCGTGTGTGTGTGTGTATGTGTGTGTACATATACAGGTCAGTGTGTGTGTGTGTGTGTGTGGCTATGAGCCTTCATGATCAGTAGAGTCCTGGTTCAACTCTTTCCTGGTGCCCATAGTGGGAGTTCCTGAGTTTTTCCTGGACCGCTGCTTCTCGTCAATATCAAGCAGCGACGGCTCCTTATACATACACACTGAGACACAGAGACAAATACATACAAAACATCATTAAAACAGCAGGGGTTTTGAAATTAGTCATGCATTAATACAGTGCAGGCCAAACAACTCTGAGAAAAAAAGCTACAGTTTTGCATTATTTTCTAATTCATGTGTGTCTGTGTGTGTGTGTGTGTGTGTGTGTGTGTGTGTGTGTGTGTGTGTGTGCGCGCGC